AAGGGAACACAGGGTGCGACAACATCATCAGTTGGGTACGTCGTTCGCCGCAAGCGCGGCCTTGGCCGCCCTACTCGCTTCTACAGCAGTGTCCGGTCGCCGTTTCTTCCCCCCCCCCGCCGCTTCCCCGATTCTCTTTCTCTTCGGGCCCGGGGCGGCCGTACTCTCCGTCTCTGCTTCCTCCGCGCGCTGGCGCTGGCGCTTCGCGGATGCTTCCGCCTCCTGTCTGTGCCATTTCCTCATGAACCATGCCGCCCCGTCCTCGATCTTGTCGTACCACGCCTCCTGGTCCTTGGCGCTCTCTTTCCATCTCCCCCCCTCCTTCTCCTCTTTCATGCCAAACGCCACGAGGTCCTCTCCTAGGCGATACACCCAGTCGCTCTCCTGCCCGCCCCGGTATCCGGTACCCCCCGCCATCGCTCCCAGCAGCATGCGCTTGGGGAGGCGGTTGTCCTCCATGCGCATAACGAAGCCCGCAAAACACAGCCTCCGTTTGCGCACGGTGGCCTCGATGGTTTCCTCGCAGCCGGCCTGGATGAAGTGAAACGTGTTGGCTGTTACATTGTTACGCGGCGAAACCCTGTAGTGAGAAGCGTGGGGGAGGGTGAGGGGTTCATCGCATATCCGAGGGGTCCGTCGCACATTACCCTCTATCACGAGGTCGGCACAGGAAAACCACCAACCAACTGCAATTGCCCAATCATTGCAGGCGTGGCGGACCCCAAGCTAAGTGAAGTCACATGGAACGCTTGGTGAATGCTGCTCAGTTGATGGCGGATTCAACCCGCCGGCCCGATGCCATGAACACATCATCACCCGTTCACCCTCCCGCGGGCGCAGCACCAGGAGTATCCCATGACCTTGGGCGCTGTCCTGTGCTGAAATAATTATTCGAGAGGAACTTTCGTGGCTACAGGCAAACCGCTGAGCCTCCTTACTATGGCGGTGAGGCTCTCCAGCAGGCCGTGGCCAGCGCGTTTGCTAACGGACTTGCCGGCTGCGAATCGCTCGGGTCTGAACAACATGCCCAAATCAGCGGCGCGCGCACCGATCCAGCGCTGGCGGCTCGCGTATCGACCACGGCCGTTCTGAAGCGTGTAATGGAGAAGGAGGACGTGCATAAGTACTCAACGGGGCCTGCTTGAGCTTCGCCACGCAGGGAAGGTGAGGGCACAAATCATGTGATCTAATGGCGACTGCTGTCTATGCATCATACACTGCTGTAGGGGAGAATGCGGCGGGATTCTGCTGCGTGGGAATGTGAAGCGGAGGGATCGTTGTACATTGTACATTGTACATTGCTCCTGTCTCCAGCCTGGGGGGGGCAAGCGATTGAAGGACTAGACTACTGGCGATTGAAAAACAAAACTAGACTACTGCAGTTGTACTGCAGTACCTCTGTAGCTTCAACAGAAGCCAACATCACATGCCTCTACCATCCAGCGTCCGACCTTTGTCCATGAATAACCAGAATAACAGCATGGTATGCATTCCAGGAAAGAGATAATGTTGCCTCCGCTGTGTTGCTGCTGCGAGTTTCTTTATGTCCTTTCAGGGATGAGCAATGATTCAGAGGGACAAAGTTCAGTAGTATAGAATATTCTAGTAGTCGTCGTTACTTGTGTCTGGACCCCTTCCACCCTCTCTTGGGTACTGCGCATGGCAAGATGAACCAACTGATACGTACACGTCAACGGGATTATGACCACTAGTCTAGTCGGGCCCGTGCAAACTGAGACAAATGGTGCTGGTTGGCATGTCGTTTGCGCGCGATCATTTACACGCCGCGCCCGCGCTAGAGACTTCGCCGCCTCAACCACACACACATTGGAAGGATGGGAGAATTCATTGTATTATTCATTCGGCGATTCTAACCGTCCCTGGACACTGCTGTAAAGGCCCGTTGTTTGAGTCTGCTGCGGTCCTGCCACGGCAGGGGTCTGAATCCGGTCCGGACACATATGCTCTGTAGGTCAAAGCGCCCTACATATGGGCGGGGTCTGACGCCGCCCATACTTCGTCCTCTGCACGACCTACTGGCGCTTCCCCCCCCCCGGATTTAAACTAGTGCTCCGGGCGTACGGTGGATGGCGGACCGGGATGCCGCGAGAAGAAGGAGCTTTGGAGGCACCTCAGCATCTGCTCAGAGAAGAACTGTGTGGTTCAGAACTGCAAACTCTATGCGTGGCAGGCAAGAGTAATTCTGGGGCGGGCGCATTCGCTGTACATTGCTGACCGATATTGTGATATCGTTTGCGTTCCGCTCAAAAAATGCGACAGATTCGTGTTTGTAAGGGCAGCGTTCCGTTGGAACTCGATCTGACAGGCAATTCATTTCGCATAGGAGTACATCCTACGTTTGGATCCCTCGCGTTCGGTTCTATCCTCGTGCATGCAGCTTCTGATCATCTCTCTTGCCAAGGCAGCTTTTGCTCGCCTTCTTGCGTGCCCTGTGAGAGCACTCGGTCCCTCAGCAGCCGCGCGCGGACACGCTCGCTTTGTGCTGCGGCCAATGAAGCAAGGCCCACGCTCAAGAAATGAACCTCTATCCTCGAACTGGTCCACAATCAGAACACTACGTAGTTGGGCAAACTAATGAATCAATTCAGTGGCTGCGCGGAGCGCTGAAAACATGTATTCCTCTTTATATAGAGAAAAACTACTTGCTGCCGAATGTAATCTGATGGGCTATCGCTAGAATAACCTGCAGAAAATCTGGTCAAAAAACACGCAACACTCACCATCGTTCGAGCGTGTTCTGATTTACTACCGCCTGACCTTTCGAGCGTTGGCTCGAAACGATAAAAAAAAACATTCACACTGTCGTAATTGCACAACTAACTTGTCCCAAACCCCGTAACCTGAAGATATATAACACATACATGCGTCGGAAATATAATTTTTGGCCCCACTTTTCTCATTGTGGGGGTCGCTCAACTGAAGTTCCCGCCCACTATAATGGAACATAGTTGGATGTTGGTGATTTTACCGTTGATCTACCGAGCCAATAGGGATGCTTGTCTTGCAGAATCTTCATTTTGCATCAAGCCCTCCATTTGGCTGATACATTGAGTTAAGTTGATCTCAGAATCACTTGGAGAACCGCAGCAGTCATTGGTGGCACGAGTGAATCTGAAAATCGAATCGGGCTGAAACCGTACCAAGTGCAGTACGTTTGATCTGACTCATCCAAAATCAGGGCTGAGAAGGCAACAACGCAACCATGTTCGTAGCTTGTAGCAAACCAAGACTTACAAAATCCACGTGCTTGTTTGTACTTATGTAGATACCGTTCCAAATGTCCAGGTGGCCATCGTGCGCGTGATGGATTCGCCAGCCATGCAGCTGGGTGCAGGATACAGCCTGCACTAGAGCTGATCCAGATGCATTAGGACCGTTGAGCTTTACCAAGTTGCGACATTTACAGTACGTTGACCCACCAACACCATCGATCGGGGAATCGGGCGGCAAAGCTATGAAATAGCTGTTGTTGCTGAAGCTCACCTATAAGCGGTAGGATGTACTAAGCTGGTATTCATTGCAGTCAAGACCCCAATCAAACTCCATTCCCCTTCGCCCCGCATCGCTCCGACCACGAGCAGCTATCCCACCTGAAAAGGTGCACGGCGACCCCCTGCAACATCTGCCAGCCAGTGAAAGATTTCATTAACAAGTCGAGAACGGACTGCATCAATAAAGGGATCCTGAATGAGCACCGGCCTGAGGTAAGAATGGAAGGTTCGGCGCACCCATGGGGGGGGCGTTCATTCTTATTCTTCGTGTGTCGCGAGCTACAGCACGCCTTGTCAGAATCGATTCCCTTTCACCCCCACGAGCGGAAAAATAGTCGTATATATTTCGCCACGAAGCGCCTTGAATCCCGTCGGAGATACGAGAAATCACTGCTGTGACCGTGTTACGTTGTTTGGAAAGTCAACCTTTCTTGCCTCGCTAGGTGAAGTTGGCGGGCACCCTTCCGTATGAATTGGGCACCACATTACCCGCCCGAAACCGTTGGGCGGTGGTTAGTTTCGCTTGTAGGCCGGAATGAGATGCGTGGCATGGACCGATTCGAAAGCCGCGCGTATGTTGACATTCCCCAAGATATCACGTCGTTGGCGGTACGAGAAAATGTACAGTAGATTGGAGCATCACACGTTTCGAGATCCAAATCTATGTGTACTCTACTGTAGGATGAGAAGGGCGTGCTGTCTCCTCATGTTCCTTTGTTGAAGACTTCAAGGCTTCAAGCACGTGAATCGGTCCACGAAGTGCAGACGCATGTTTGCGGCCTACGCCACGTATTGATCGGGTGAGACTGTTTTGGTGATGTATTAACTTCACGAGAGGTCCACGACCGTCCTTCACACGGACGAAAGAGGGAGTGCTCAAAGAGCGGCTCCCACAGGAAGGAGGGGCCCCGTGAATCATCGCGGTCCCCCTAACAAACGGCAATCTTACCAGTCTGCGTGACCCCAAACCATCCAGCACATGTATCCAACACCAATGTTCGCAGACCCACGAACACCCTCCCTGGTTCTTCATGCAAGTGACAAACCATAAATGGGGCAAGAACGCCCCTGGATACATCAGAAAATACCAACATGGAAATATATGGAGGGGAAACCCGGCGTCCGGGCAAAACCCCTCGAGAAAAAAACCTTCCACCACAAAAAACCGTCGCTATCACAGCGG